TACCACATGTGGTGAAATAGGCGATCGACTGGATACATCACTGGTTTTGGGCACATTGATGGAATGAAAGCAATATAATATTGAAAAAGTCCCTAAAAGCAGCGTACGGAATATTTGAAAGAATGGACATTTATTGAGACTTTGAATTGTAAAACATGTTTTGGTTATAATTGCTCGTACAATATTGTGGGTATTCATTTTAATAGTAGGATTAGCACCTTTATTTTTCACTGATTTCAGTTTTCCAATTTGCTCAACCATTCATTTAAATGGGCTGCCCTAATGCAACGTGCATTACCACATCACACACCGGAACACCAAGGTCTGAATGGGTCTTCACTCTCCATTTCTTTCCACAATAGCGCGTGATGTGAAGGTGCTGAAGCCACTGGCCAATGTGGAAGTAGAAGAAGAGAGCAGCGTGGTCTTCTCCTGTGAGCTTTCCCATGATGATGAAGAAGTGGAATGGTTCCTGAACAACACCCTTCTGTATACAAACAACTACAACGACATCAAGAAAATTGGAGCCTGCCACACACTGACCCTAAAGCAGGTGGCCCCCCAGGACTCCGGCACCGTGACTTTAAAGACCACAAAACTCTCACTCAACGCGGAGCTAAAAGTAAAAGGTGGGTGGACAATGTTTTTAAAGGAATTTATGGGAAGTTCATCAAAATTTCAGCCATTTAAAGCCCAAATCAAGCCAATTTTTGTTTCTTTTGTTAGTTTTGGTACAGTGGGAAAATTTATCTCTGTATTTTATATCTATCTTTTACCCCATTGGAGATATTTCCTTCATTTCCTGTCCCTGTGACCCAATAAAACATGGTCAGAAGTTCTAACCCAGGGGTGGGCAAACTTTTTGACTTGAGGGCCGCAATGGGTTCATATATTGGACCCGGGGGCCGGACCAAGAGTAGACGAATGATGTGTATGTGTCATCCATAGTAAGTATAGTATAGTATATTCCCCCCATAGTAATTCATAGTAAGCATAGTAATTAATCCCCCATATAGTAATTCATCCCCCATAGTAAATTCATAGTAATTGTATCACCCATAGTAATTAATCCCCCATATAGTAATTCATCCCCCATATAGTAATTCATCCCCCATATAGTAATTCATCCCCCATATAGTAATTCATCCCCCATATAGTAATTCATCCCCCCCATAGTAATTATCCCCCATCCCCCATATAGTAATTCATCCCCCATAGTAATTAATCCCCCATATAGTTCAATTCATTCCCCCATATAGTAATTCATCCCCCATATAGTAATTCATCCCCCATAGTAATTCATCCCCCATATAGTAATTCATCCCCCCTATAGTAATTCATCCCCCATATAGTAATTCATCCCCCCTATAGTAATCCCCCCTATAGTAATTCATCCCCCATATAGTAATTCATCCCCCCTATAGTAATTCATTCCCCATATTAAGTCCCCAAGTCCCCCCTGTGTCAATTCACTTACCTTTGCTCCGCGCGTTCCTCTAGCCGTGTTCCCGCGCCGTTCCGGTGTAGCATGAAAATCTGTCTCCTATGAGGATCTGTCCCCCTCGACGTATCTGCGCATGTGCCAGTTTCAGGCATTAGCAGCCGATCGGCGATCTCCGGCACATGCGCAGATACGTCGAGGGGGACAGATCCTCATAGGAGACAGATTTTCATGCTACACGGCAGACTGTGAGAGGAGCCTAGCGGGAGCCTAGCTCCGCGGGCCGGATTAAAAGGTCCGCCGGGCCGTAGTTTGCCCATTGCTGTTCTAACCCTTCCATGCAATACTAAAAATTTAATTTTGCCCCCATGGAATGACCTCCCATCGATTCCTGTCATGGCAGGAAGTAAGGGAAAATCTCCCAAATAGGGACATAGACAGTAGCAAAGACATGACAGAGGATCTAATCCTTCTCCACTCTATCAAAGCCAAAAAAAACAAACATTTTATTGTTGTGTTTGGGCTTCAAGTGTCTGAAAAAGATAAAGAATCAAAAACAACATGATCAGTACACCTCTGCATTAAATGAGGGGGTTGTCTTCTAAAAAATTGCTGCAAGTACAAAAAAATAAAAAAGAATTGATCCTGTGAGAAATCCAGTGGGCTGCTAACTTCCTGTAATGTGTTGACAATGCCGTCTGTGCTGCGCTGAAATCTCAAGCAATGTTGTCAGCCCTGCCGAATTTTACCCTATTGGACTACAGAACCCCTGCTCCTCTTTTGATTTCTATTACAGGGAGGGGCCCTGCAGGCCGGCAGGGTAGGGTTGACAACACACTGTTTTGGATTTCGGGGCAGCTGAGGGAGCATTGTCTGTTTATAGCAGGAACAGGGGCGGACTGACAACTCATGGGGACCCCAGGCAATTAGGGATTATGGAGCCTGTGTCCTTGCCCACACTCAAAACACACACCCAAAAAAGCCTATAAAAGGTACCAGGGGCATTTTATGGGGCCCCCTACTGACCCCGGGCCCTCGGGCAGTGCCCGAGTGCTCGAATGGTTAGTCCGCCCCCGAGCAAGAAATTAGATGTGCAATGGATTTCTGGCAGGATCAACTATTATTTTTCTCTTTACTTGCAGCATTGACTATGTTTAGGGAGATATACTAAAACTGGGGCACTCAGAATCTGGGGCACATTGCAGCCAATCAGCTTCCAACTTCAGCTTGTTCAATTAAGCTATGGCCATAAAACCTGGAAGCTGATTGGTTCCTGTGCAGAGCTGCACTAAATTTTGCACTCTCCAGTTTTAGTAAATAACCCCCAATGTGACACATTTTATATGATTTCTTTCTAAATATATACTGTTTGTGAGCTTTTTTTGGTGGTTGGTTTCCTTTGCCCTCTGTAGAAAAGCCGGCCGTGTTCATGAAATCCCTGGATGACTCAGTGGGTGAAGAGCGAGGAACAATCACGCTGAAATGTGAAGTCTCCAAACCCAACGTCACACCAGTGTGGAAGAAGGATGACCAGGTCCTGCCGAACGGAGACAAATACCAACAGATACAAGCCGGGAAGACCGTCTCTCTCATCATCCACAACCTGAACAAGTCCGATGCTGGACTTTATGTCTGTGATATCGGAACCGACGTGGCCAGGTCCAAAGTTGGAGTGCAAGGTAGCGTTTAAAACACATCTTGGGTTGGATTGAATTAGTCATCTGTTAATCAACCTCAACAACACAAAGAGTATGGTGCCCACTACTGACAACCATGCAGATCACTGGTTTTGGTGCTACCATCTTTCAGTGATCAGTTGTTAACACGAGTGTGATGATTCTCAGCTGTCACTTCCAGGGCATGACTGATGGACATGCAGAATATCGAGGCTAATACTTACCCCTAATCCATAAAAACCACCAACACCCTTCAACCTACCCCACCTAAATAACCACACGACTCTCTTTTTGGTGTAAAACCGGCCATAGCAGCCATTTATTTAACATAACACTTCATACAGTACACTCAAATAATAACTGACAGTAATGATCCCAACTGGATCCAACGTCTTCGAAGGCACCGTTACTCACATCAAAAACTCAGCTGTATCTGACACCGAATGAAAAGGCCCCCAGCCCCTACTACACCGCCTCGGGGACAATACTACAGTTACGTACTCCCAGATACAGCCAATGAACTCCTACATTACCAACGTGACCTTGTAATTGGGAAGGGACACCCATACCTACGATGGGCCAAACCCGTAATCCACCAAATTGTCACTCCAGCACCGCCTTCAAAGACCCATCGACCCCTGCAGGCTGCCATGACAAAACAAACAGACAAACACCTCGGGACACAAAATGCCATTCCGGAGAAGAAACAAACTCAAGGAACCCACACAAAACAAACAGGACAAACACAAAAAACAAATCATAACCAAAAAAGCAAAACAAAAATACGAAACAGCTCCAGGGAGGGAGGGCGGGAGAAACCACCCCCATGCTGGCACAAGCTCCGACTGACCTCCGACAAGACCCAACCCCCCTCCTAATCCTGGCAAGACCACCCCTCAAGGTTGCGTACTCCAATCAGGTGAGTAACCACCCCCTTACCTCCTGCATATACTCCCACCCAAATACATGCTCTGCCGCGTCTGCACGCCCCGGTCATGCTGGCCCTCCCTTTTAGCTTTGCTCAGTTCAGGCCCTGACTGGACAAGGATGGCATAAAGAACAAGGCTTTACAGTAGCTTTTTCTAGAGTTATGTGAAGTTAAATAGGCATTTTAGGGAACGGGTGTTAAAACACTTAACATACGTTTAACACTTAACCCCTAAAATAATTAATAACTAAAAAGAAAAAAAGTTTTATGGAGAGGGACATGTAAGCCTAAAGGTGAATTTAGGGATTTTGTTTGTTAAAGAGTCCCTGTCACCAACTCCAAAAAGTGCAGATAAAATCGAAAGAAAATTCTAGCAATGTACATAGTTACTTGCAGTGTTTTTCCTTTCCAGAATTATTTTTTATTGACTTGCAATGTGCCTTTGAATTTGCTAGATTTACTGATTTCTCCAGGGGAGACAATTTTCTAAGCATTGCCTTCTTCCTCGTAACTGCCATGACCCTCCCCTCTTTTGTGAGTGTCTACGCTCTGTGCTGGCCAAGCTCCTCCACACCTCCCTTTCACCTACCTACATAAACTTTTGTGTAGCTGTTGAGGGACTGAGGGAGGAAGAAAAGGGAATACTATAGAGCAGTGGTTCTCAACTTGTGGGTAGGGACCCCTTTGGAGGTCAAACGACCCTTTCACAGGGGTCGTCTAAGACCATCGGAAAACACATATTTCCAATGTGTAAAGAGCAGCTACTGTGTAGAAAGCAGCTGCTGTGTTGAAAGCAGCAGTATTGGAGGTAAAACGGCACTTCATGAATTATAATTACTGGGTAAATCATTTTATGGCTGGGGGTCACCACAACATGAGGAACTGTATTAAAGGGTCGCGGCATTAGGAAGGTTGAGAACCACTGCTATAGAGCAATGTTTCTCAACCTTTTTTCAGTCAAGGCACCCTCTAAATTATAGACAGTCTTGAGGCACCCTTTAAAATTATGGACAGTCTTGAGGCACCCTATAAAATTATGGACAGTCTTGAGGCACCCTTTAACATTCTGGACAGTCCTGAGGCACCCTTTAAAATTATGGACAGTCTTGAGGCACACCATTCTAAAATGGGGTGCCTCAACACTGTCCAAAATTTTAAAAGGGCACCCCATTCTAACATGTGAAAAACTGTTCTAATGGTTTTATATAACGCAGCAACATCCCCACATGTAGGACACCCAACATTAGAGGTGACTTATATTTCCAAAGCAAATACACTTTTGCACACTGGTACTGACTAGTATTCCCATGTTTCTCTTCTCCCTCATCACTGAGCTAATGTGACCGCAGCACTGATGGAGAGGGGCAGGGGAGGATCAAAGTAGGATGCTGTGCAGGCAGCTGACATCCTCCCTATCAACTGATGATGTCATTGGTTGTCAGGATGCTGGCAGCTAGAAGGTCATAATGGTGCACAATGAAAACCTGTGGCTTTGCGTAACTAAAAGGCAGTCTTGTTCCACCCGCTGGCTTGCATACAAGTTTTGGGCAATTTTTAGACATTTTGCCAAGGCGCCCCTGAAGAATCCTCAAGGCACCCCAGGGTGCCTGGACACCCTGGTTGAGAAAGGCTGCTATAGAGTATCATTGGAGTAACAGGCCTGTGTCTTCTGGGTTTCCTGACATCACATTCAAGATGGTGGCATCCAGAAGAATTTGTAGGCTTTTTGATGTCTACACCAGTGCTTCACAATCTTTTTTCAGTCAAAGCAGCCTTTAAAATTATGCACAATCTCGAGGCACTACATTCTAAAATGTAAAACCTAAACCAGGCCTTGAAATTTCCACTCGCTTGCTTACCAATGGCGAGTGGAAATTATGGTTGGGGCGAGTGTGTCCCCCAGGGCCGTCTTGCTGAGCAGGCTCGGAGCTCAGGCCGGAACTGTCATCGGCACTGGGAGCCGTCAGACTGCTCAATAGCTGAGCGCAGTGAAAGCAAAGCAAGAAGTGTGTGCTGTGCTCTCTGCCTCCCCCTAGAGTGCAGTACCCGGCTCTGTGAGTGAACAACGAAGTACTGCAACTTTTTATAGGTGGGGTGTATGTGTGTACATGTGTCTGTGTATGTATGTACATGTGTCTGTGTGTATGTACATGTGTCTGTGCCTGTGTATTTCTGTGTATTTACATTTGTATCTGTGTGTATGCGTGTCTGTACGTGCCTGTGTGTGTATACATGTGTCTGTCTGTATGTGTGTGTGTACATGTGTCTCTGTGCGTGCGTGTACATGCTTCTGTGTGTGTGTGTGTATGTGTATGTACATGTCTGTGTGTGTACAGATGTCTCTGTGTGTGTTTGTTGGTGGCGAGTAACGCTTAAGGCCTGGCTAGTAGCTCAGGACTTGAAATTTTAAGCCCTGACCTAAACTATGAGGGGTCTTCAAGTCAAACCGTAACATTTAATTTTACAGGTATAAAAAGGAAAGCTAGCATGTAGTACGTGGTAAGTGTGTCAAATTACTGATAGGCGGCACACATGTCGCGCCGTTAATCAAGACGGCAGACAACAGTGTTAGTGCGTGTATGGAACAGCGTGTGGTGATGACGTTTCTTGTGAACGAAGGCGTAAAACCTGCGGATATCTACAGAAGACTTCAAGCACAGTACGGTGATGAGACGCTCAACCGCATTTAGACATTTGAATGGTGTAAACGTTTCAAAGAAGGGCATACGTCCATCAGTGACTATCCCAGCCATGGTGGTTCCCAGCCCACAGCAGTCATTCCTGTGAACATTCAGTCCATGGAACACCTGATCCTTGATGATCGATGCATAACCTGTCGTGGAATTACACAAGAGATTAATCTTTCTGTGGGAACAGTGAGCACAATTATTCACGAACATTTGCATTTTCAAAAAGTGAGCGCACGCTGGATACCAAGGCAGCTTTCTGCTTTTGACCGGCACAGAAGAGTTGAAGTCTGCACTACGGCCTAGTTTGATCACTAAGGGCATCTTGTTTCTCCAGGACAACTCACAAGCTCATACTGCTCACTGTACTACGTGCAAATGACAGCAGCTTGGCTGGGAGGCATTGCCACATCCCCCTTACAGCCTGGACTGCGCTCCGAGTGACTTCCATCTGTTTGGACTCCCAAAGGAGTTCCTTGGAGGTCAGCATTTCAGCACTAATGGCAAAGTGAAGCAGGCTGTCCTAGGATGATTCAGGCGTACTGACAAATCTTTCTATGCCAAACCTTTCTACGTATTAGTTAAACGCTGGGAAAAGTGTATAAATGTAGCAGGGGAGTATGTGAAAAAATAAATGCAGTTTCCGCTCCTTGAAATTTGTTCTTTGACTTGGAACGCCCCACATAATAGTTTTCATAATGCAATGGCATCCACACATGTAGAACACCCAACGTTAGACGTGATTTATTTTTTGGCATTTTGCCAAGGCAGCCCTGAAGAACCCAGAAAGCACCCCGGGGTGCCATGGCATTCTAGCTAAAAAAGCCTGGTATGCACAATGGGATAAATAAGCCAAAATGGCATTTTTGAGGTCAGGTACTGATTTGGATGAGAAGACCTGGTCAACAATTAGTGTTCCAACTCATTTTGAAGGAGTTCAGTAGGGATGAGGCCAGGGTTCTGTGCAGGCCACTTGAGTTCCTCCACACCAAACTGGTCAAGCAATGTCTTTACAGGGCTGGTGTTGTACTTAGGGGTGTAATCATGCTGGAACAGAGAAGGGCCTTCCCCAAATTGTTATCACAAAGTCGGAAGTGCACAATTGTCTAAAATGTCTTGGTATGATGTAGGGTTAACAGGACCCTTCACTGAAAACACTTGAAATCCATCTCTTGGAGGGGAGGGTCACATACTTTTGGACATAACGTAGGAGTGATGGTCACGTGTTCACAAATTTTGGCCATTTGGTGCATTTTGGGCAGCCTAGGATTCAGTTCTCGAAAAAAAGGACACTAAAAGTTTTTTGGGTTATTTTGCTGACTGGAAGTCATTTCTACAGATGCTTTCTTGTAGCCATTAAAGAAGGGATAAGTACTCCACTAAAGGCTCTTATCCTCCCCTCTCACTGATGACAGGAGCAGGTTCTTCACATTTGCAGGCTCCTAGAATCGACTCTACAACAACTCCAACAGAAGAGAGATCCCCGCTCACTGTATTAAATGTCTCGTAAACCATTTATTTATCAATCCAACAAAAAGACCAAACCATTCAAGATGCAAACACCCCAACGCATTTCACTATGCAAGGTTCTTAGTCGTAGGGTCCCTCGGATTAAGCTCCTTACTGAGTGAGATGTGTTGGTGTGTTTGCTTCTCGAATGGATCGGCCTTTTCATTGGACTGATGAATAAATGGATATAAGGCACTTAATACAGTGAGTGGTTCTTTCTGTTTATTGGAGTTTCTTGTAGCCATATCTGATGTGCATGTGTCAGGAGCTGCCGCGACGTACAGCTCGGCGCAGTGTGTCGGCTCGCACTGGTGTGCCGGCACTAGGTCCTGGCCGACCGCGGCGGAGACAGAACTCGCGCATGCGCACTCGGGGCCGCGGGTGTGCGCCTGGCACCAATGACAGTGCAGGGCGCAGTATTTTACATCCGCTCTGCACTGACACTGTTTGCTGTTTGGTCATTCCTGTGTTCCTGCTTCTGTAGTTATTGGTATTTGATTGTTGCTGACCCGGATTGTTCCTGACCGTGCTGTACTCTCCTGCCCTGACCCCTGGCTTGCCTGACCTCTCTCTTGGATGCCCCTAATTTGCTCTGACCTCTTGTTGCTGACCCGGCATGTGACCCGACCATTCTCTGCCTGCTGCCTTGTACTGCGCTGCCCCCACGGTTACCGACTCGGCCTGTCTGACCCCGCTTCTGCTCATCCATCCGTCCTGCTTGGGCCCATCCGCCTCTTCACATCAGGCTCTCAGTGTGCAGATACCTCTGGCGGATCCCTCTACCATGGGTAGGTGTACTCAGGGGCCGCGACCTGGTCTCAGTCGGCTCCAAGTCCATCCCCACCATCAGGGGCTCTGGTGAACAAGCAGACTGGGACTTAGACTCCGCGCTCTGGGGAACCCTATTCTGTGGATTGCTAGAGGTACCACCAGGCGGTTCATTACATCATGTATACCCCCTTTATTAACTGCCAGTCAGCGCTTAAGAAGATGGGTAGAACCATACAGTATTTTAATTTCACTCTCTGTTTTACTTTTATTTTCTCAGAACTCAATATTGGAATCACAAAACGCCTAAAGAGCACTGAGGCGAAAGAAGGAGAGAGCTGTATGTTCGAATGTGTCCTTTCTCATGAGAGTATACATGAATGCTACTGGACAGTGAACGGGCTGGAGGTGGAGAATGACCGGAGGTTCGAGGTGTCCAATAAGGGTTGGAAGTATTCACTGAACATCAAGGAGGTGAGAGCCTCTGATGCCGGTGATGTGGTCTTCACCGTCCGAAACTTAACTTCCAAGGCCTCCTTAACTGTCAAAGGTAAGTAAGTCATTACAGTATAAAATCCCTCCAAGAAAACACTGTGGTGTCAATCGCTACTGACACAAATATCAAATAACAAGGTGCAGCGCTAAAAGCATATATAAAATGATAAATGTCCATAAATTAATTAACCTCCTTGGCGGTATTCCCGAGTGTAGCTCGGGGTAGAATTTCTATACCAAGAATGGTAACCCCGAGCTACACTCGGTCTTACCATGTAGCGTTCTCTGGGGGTCCCTGCAGCACTTACCTTGTCCTTCGCTCCCACGATGGGTCCCCTGCAGCATCCCCGTCCATCTCCTCCGGCGGATGCCGGCATCTGGCTTCCGTGTTCCGGTTCCTGTGACGTCGGAACGTACGGGCGGCGGAACCGGCGGGAAATTTGAAATTTTTAAAAAATGACATTTTTGCTGTCCTTGCTTTTTTTTCACTGCATTTCACATACATTGTGTCCCGAGTGCTTTGTCCGGCATTTTGACTGTTCTTTCTGCCTGGAAACGTAGAAAAGTCCATGGCAGCCAAAAAGCGTCCCTTTACGTCAAAAGCGGTTTTAGAACAGTGATAGTAAATCAGAACCACTTGCAGAATTGAGTGATAATGATTTGTGGGGAAATTCGTCATCAGACACTGAAAACGATTTTGCGACTTTGCTCAGCGATGTGCGAATTTGCCTCTGTATTTCAAATTTCAGTGTTTTTGGTTTGATTATATTATTGAATTAAATTTATTATTATTATATTATTATTTTTTATGATTATTTATTAAATTATAATTTATGATTTCGTGTTTCAAGTTTTATCATATCCGGAATGTTTAATAGACTCTTTTTCGGATAGATTTCAGTGAGTTATTCCTAAAAATTACAACCTACAATAAAAAACTACATATTTCCATGCAAAAAAAATGGTACCGCTTTCAGCACAAAAAATCGGAAAGAATCATACCGCCGAGGAGGTTAATATGCCAAATTATAAAGTGTCAGTCTCTGCAGATCTGGGTAAGAGATAATAGTAGAATCCAAATAATGGTGCTCCAAAAAGTGTTGTAGAATTACGCACTCACCAGATGCGTAACATAAATACACATTGTATATAAGCGTAGAGGTCCCCATTTAGGATTTGGATAAGGTCCTGCTTCAGGATGATCCTCCCTCTAGATCTGGTGGTGCTGTCAGGGATTCACGGGAAAGTACAGGATCCAGCTGACCAGAGATCCCTTTAAGGGATGGACGGGTGTAGGTGTCAGCTTTAAGGAACTCCCCTCTCTGGATACTGATGGATGGCTGGATCAGGATGGGCTCTAACAGTAAATAGCTACAATACAGAGGGGGGCGACTGAAAAAAACCTTAAGCCCTACTCCTACCAAAACATTTCTTTGGGATATAGTCTTTGGGGTTGATTTACTAAAGGCAAATAGACTGCATGAGGTGAAGCTCTGTTGACTTCCATCATCATATCATGTGCAATGCAAATCCTGTTTTTTCATTATCTTGCACATGATTGGGCATATTTTGTGAAGCGAGTTAAGCGAAAGGTCCCTTGCAAAGTGAACTGACTTTAGTCCTTTTGTAAACCAGCCACCATGTTACATATTACAAGTAACATCCTCCAAGTAACGCCCGTTCCCGTGTCTTCCAGGAAAACCAGCTGCTATCACAAAGCCTCTTGAAGACAAGTCTGTTACTGCTGGAGAAGACATTGTCCTGAAGTGTGAGTTTTCCAGAGAAGAGACGAGCGTGAAATGGACCAAGGATGGCAAAGTGGTGAAGAGGAGCCAGAAGCATGAGATTGTTCTAGAAGGTACAGAGTCCAGGTTGATTATCCATGAAGCATCATCCAAAGATGCCGGAGAATACATCTGTGAGACGGCCGATTCCAAGACCAAAGCTGCCATTCAGATCACAGGTAAGTGTAGATAGTCGTGAAGGCGAATCAGAAACTCTGTCACTCTTGGGCAGGTACAGATATATGCCTCAGAACTCCAAATCGCAATTAAAATCAGCCTCCAACCTCCACCCTCTAGCAAGATGGCCCCTGGCGTGCGGCGTTCTCAAATTTTTAGAAGTTCAAACCCTATGAAAAACAAAAAATCTTTTGATTATAGAGACTTGAGGTAACAGCTAACCAAATTCTATGGTTCGGTGCTTTCCCTTTTTTTTTCATGATTGGACAGTTTTGTTTAATCACCTCCCGCCCGCCATATACAGAAATGACGGGCGCAAGGCGGTTCTCTTGTTCTGGGAGGATGTCATATGACGTCCTCCCACTCTAACCACTCGTGAGTGCGGCGATCGGAGGGACACAGCGGATCACCGATCAGCGAAAAGAGCTGATGACATCGTCTCTGTCATGTGATCAGCTGCATCCAATCACAGCTGATTGCATGTAAATAAGAAATGCCGGTTATCAGCATTTCTCTCCCCACGAGTTGTCACGCTGACAGAGGAGAGGAGAGACGGTAATCGATATTCCTCAGAGGGGACATCTACACTGATCATCAGGACACTGATGATCAGTGTGCCCTGATGATCAGTGTAGCCCCATCAGTGCCACCTGCCAGTGCCCATCAATGCCACATATCAATGCCCATCTGAGCTGCCTTTCAGTGTCACCTATCAATGCCAGTCACTGCCACCTATCAGTGCCAGTCAGTGCCACCTATCAATGCCAGTCACTGCCGCCTATCAGTGCCAGTCAGTGCCACCTATCAATGCCAGTCACTGCCGCCTATCAGTGCCAGTCAGTGCCGCCTATCAGTGAGCATCAGTGCCTGTCAGTGCTGCCTATCAGTGCCACATAACAGTGCCAGTCAGTGCCGCCTATCAGTGCCAGTCAGTGCCACCTATCAGTGCCAGTCAGTGCCACCTATCAGTGCCATATATGAGTGCTGCCTTTCAGTGCCCATCAGTGATGCCTGTCAATGCCCATCAGTGCCACCTACCAGTGCCTCCTCATCAGTGCCCATCACCGCAGCCTCATTAGTGCACAAAATTTCACAATTTTCAGTATTTTTGTTTAGCAAAAAATAAAAAAAACCCAGAGGTGATTAAATACCCCCAAAATAAAGCTTTATCTGTCTCAACAAAATGCTAAAAAATTCATATGGGTACAGGGTTGCATGACCGCGCAATTGTCATTCAAAGTGCGACAGCGCCGAAAGCGGAAAATTGGCCTGGATAGGAACAGGGTAGAAGTGGCCGGTAGGCGAGGGGTTAATATTCACTGTTTTTTAGCAGACATTGGCTAAGCCTGATTTCCTCTTTAACAGAAAAAGCCAATCGATTCACCAAAGAGATCTCCGATGTCAAGGCCGAGGAAGGGGAGGAAGCTGTATTTATCTGCGAGACCGAAAAAAAAAAAACGCTGCTTCCGTAAAATGGAGGAAAGGCATCTCTGAACTCAAGCCGTCTAAGAAATTTGAGATGACTCAAAAGGGCCTCGTCCTCAGCCTGACGGTAAATGACCTGGAGAAGAGTGATGGTGACACCTACGTATGTGACATTGGGGACGCCCAGACTAAGGCCTCCCTCACTGTGAAAGGTATGACTAGCAACCACCGCCTAGACATAATATTCGTTTATGAAACATCATCATTTGCTGTGTAAAATTGGAACTAAAGTACGTTCAGGAGGCTTACAAAATGACGTTGTTTCAGTATTTTCCAAGAACCGCCGAAAGGTTGTAGCCTGAGCCAAGGTCAAACAAGCTCTTTTATTATTATTATACAGGATTTATGGCGCCAACAGTTTGCTCAACGCTTTACAATATAACGGGAGACAATACAGCAGCAATACAAGAGGGTTAGGAGGGCCCTGATCCTGGGAGCTTACAATCCAAGAGGAAGGGGCTAAGGGTACAAAACGTAGTATCTGTGGGGGATGGACTGGTTGGAAGAGTAGAAGATTCCATTATTAGCTGAGGGCAGGATAGGCTTCCCTGAAGAGAGAGGTTTTCAGAGATCGCCTAAAAGTGAGCAGAGTAGGCGATAGTCTGATAAATTGGGGTAGAGAGTTTCAGAGGATGGGGGAAGCTCTGGAGACGTCCTGGAGACAAGCATAGGAGGAGGAGACAAGGGAGCTAGAGCATGGGAGGAGGAGACGAGGGAGCTAGAGAGCAGGAGGTCATGTGAGGAGCGCAGAGTACGGTTTGGGTGATATTTGGAGACAAGATTGGTGATGTAATTTGGGGCAGAGTTGTAAATGGCGTTATACATTATTGTTAATGTTTTGAATTTTATCCGTTGGGCAATGGGAAGCCAGTGGAGGGATTGGCAGAGAGGGGTGGAGGACACTGATTGGAAGCCAGTGGAGGGATTGGCAGAGAGGGGTGCAGGACACTGATTGGAGGCCAGTGGAGGGATTGGCAGAGAGGGTGGAGGACACTGATTGGAGGCCAGTGGAGGGATTGGCAGAGAGGGTGGAGGACACTGAGTGGAGGCCAGTGGAGGGATTGGCAGAGAGGGGTGGGGGACACTGAATGGAGGCCAGTGGATGGATTGGCAGAGAGGGGTGGAGGACAATGATTGGAGGCCAGTGGAGGGATTGGCAGAGAGGGGTGGAGGACAATGATTGGAAGCCAGTGGAGGGATTGGCAAAGAGGGGTGGAGGACACTGATTGGAAGCCAGTGGAGGGATTGGCAGAGAGGGGTGGAGGACAATGATTGGAAGCCAGTGGATGGATTGGCAGAGAGGGGTGGAGGACAATGATTGGAGGCCAGTGGAGGGATTGGCAGAGAGGGGTGGAGGACACTGATTGGAAGCCAGTGGATGGATTTTCAGAGAGGGATGGCAGATACGGAACGATTAGTAAGGTGGATGAGTCTGGCAGCAGCATTCATGATAAAAGAGGGGATAGCCTGCGATGAGGTCGGCCAATGAGGAGGGAGTTACAATAGTCAAGGCGAGAGATAACAAGGGAGGGAATAAGTTGCTTAGTAGTTTCCAAAGTTAAAAATGGCCGTATCTTGGAGATCCTTTTGTTTGTATCCAAAAAAACTTTATTGTACCTTGGGATGTATTTACAAAGTAAAATTGCAGCACATTGCTCTCTGCCAGACCCTTGCTTAACCCCCCTCAACATTTTTCATCCCAAAGGGGCTCAAACATGAATTTTTGATTTAATGTGAAAACAAATCTAAATGCCTAAGCACAATTTTGCAACGTTGACATGTGTTAGTAAAACCGTCCGTATCATCAACTGCTTTGTACATCCGGGTGGATTATACCGCGTTATTTTCAGGACAAATTGGGCTTTCATTTGGTGGTAAATGGTAAAGGATATCTCATGATTTTTTTTTTATTATCAAAAGAAAACTGGCCCAAAAATAGTTAAAAAAAAAAAATATATATATATATATATATATATATATATTTTTTTTTTTTTTTATTTAGCTGTGTGTTTCTTGTTACTACCATAACCTACCACCAAAGAACAACCCAAAATAAATTCTCCAGCTCTTGAAGATCGCAGCGATACCATATATGTGTATGTTATTGGTTGTTTGTACCCGTAGTACAGCCCAGAAACAATAGTGCGAATTTTGTGGTTTTTTTTGTTTTTTTTACCTAAAACACACTGACACCGATACCAAAATTTTTTTAAATCTTTTGACCCTGACCTTGACCCAAACACTTACCCTGGCACCGAAATAGATCAAACCTTGATCTAGGTATTTTTTCTTTATTTTTTCTTTTCTTTTTTAATATTTATTTACTTATTTATTTATTTTTAACATACTTTTTTTCCCCCCTCTATGCCAGGAGTTACAATGTATCTCTCTCCTCCATTCATATACAATGTATCTCTCTCCTCCGTTCATATACAATGTATCTCTTTCTTCCATTCATATACAATGTATCTCTCTCCTCCATTCATATACAATGTATCTCTCTCCTCCGTTCATATACAATGTATCTCTTTCTTCCATTCATATACAATGTATCTCTCTCCTCCATTCATATACAATGTATCTCTCTCCTCCGTTCATATACAATGTATCTCTCTCCTCCATTCATATACAATGTATCTCTCTCCTCCGTTCATATACAATGTATCTCTCTCCTCCTCCGTTCATATACAATGTATCTCTCTCCTCCATTCATATACAATGTATCTCTCTCCTCCGTTCATATACAATGTATCTCTTTCCTCCATTCATATACAATGTATCTCTCTCTTCCGTTCATATACAATGTATCTCTCTCTTCCGTTCATATACAATGTATCTATCTCCTCCGTTCATATACAATGTATCTCTCTCCTCCATTCATATACAATGTATCTATCTCCTCCGTTCATATACAATGTATCTCTCTCTTCCGTTCATATACAATGTATCTCTCTCTTCCGTTCATATACAATGTATCTATCTCCTCCGTTCATATACAATGTATCTCTCTCCTCCGTTCATATACAATGTATCTCTCTCCTCTATTCATAGAGAGATAAAAAAAAACAAGGGGGGGCCGGGCTGTACAGTGACTGATCACTATGATAACCAATCAGAGGCTATCACAGCGATCATGTGACCCGGAATCGGGAGTCCTGGGTCCCAATCATTAGAACGGGACCCGGGGCTGTCAGTGACACTTCTCCAGCACATGCCCAAGGATGTCTGAGCCAGGCATAGTCAGGGCTGTGGAAAAAGGGGTATCACCAATCCTCCTGTGTGGGGCCCAAGCCAGCAGGGGAGCCCTGGTAGTTGGGTAAATCGGATGTGGGCAGGGAGGGTGATCGGCACTGTGAGGAGGGGGGGACAGTTACTGGAACCGATCTCATGTATGGCTTTCTCTGCAGCAGCTGAAAGCCGGATTGTTCTCCTCTCCCTACCGCTGGCTTTCAGCTGCTGCAGAGGGAGCCATACAGGGGATCTGTTCCAGGCCCCCCCACCCCCGCAGTGCTGCCCGTTTCCCTCCTCTTCTTCCCACCGGCAGCCTACAAGCACACAATAGGATCCTTCAGGATGGAGAATGTGGGAAAGGTGCGGTAAATACATGATTTACAAGCCCCTTTCTTTGCTGAATGAACACAATGAGTGATCAGTATTTAAGCATTGTAAACTTTTTTAAGGGGGGCCCTGTCAGATTGGCTGTATGGGGCCCCATGGTTTATAACAGCCTCCCTGGACGTAGTTTTGCAGCCATGCAAAAAAGAGACATTTTTTGGTAAGACTTGTAGGTTACCCCAAGACTACATTGTCATAATGCGCCATCGTTAACGACTTATGCAGACCATTTTTCATCCGAAAATTGGAAACGTAGTTCGCTCGGTAATCCCATGGTGCCATCAATGATTTCAAAGTTCACCCATATAACAGGTCAAACTTCTGTTCCTCCCAGGTCACGGCTCATACGCATATTCTTTTCGGGAAAAATGATCATATGATTTGACCATCATGGAGTCGAAAATCGGTCGTTTTTATTATTATTTCTATTTATTTCAGGTACTTATATAGCGCCGTCAATTTACACAGCGCTGTACATATATATTGTACATTCACATCAGTCCCTAACCCTCAAGGGGTGTACAATCTAAGTTCCCTAACTTACATTCATACATACACATACTAGGGACAATTTAAACAGGATCCAATTAACCTACCAGCATGTCTTTGGATTGTGGGAGGAAACCGGAGTACCCGGGATTCGAACCAACGACCCGAGTACTGCCCGGCGGAAGTGCTAACCACTAAGCCACTGTGCCACCACGTTTTTCACAAATTTTCCAACATGCCCGATCACCGAAAAGGGGAGGGACCACAAAAATCGGCCGCTTCCATTCACCCCACTAACAGAGCGAAAATCGGCTGATTATTCTTAAGTCCAATTTTTGGACAAAAAAAAATCGGTCGATTTTCGACCCTTGTATGGCTGGCCTAACAACAGTGGTATCAAAGACATGTGATGCCACAGCAGCTGAAACTATTGAATTTGTATCAAACAAACTGCGTGCACCACTTTATTTTCTAATGTGGGGGAGCATAAGTTGTACTAGAAGATTTAAATACACTAACAAGCCAATATATATTTTATATTTTTCAATCAATATATATATACTATCAATATATTTCAAAATATATTTAAATATATATATATATATATACTGCATGTTGAAATGTGTTTTTTATATATTACAAAATATAATAATTTATTATTGAAATATATTGAATACGGCCAAAATTGTAGTATTTCAAATATATGTCAATATATTTGGGAAGAATATTTTTAAAATAGATTTCAAATATACATTTCTTCCACTAGAAAGAGGATTTAAATACACTAACAAGCCAATATATTTTTTATATTTTACAGTACAATTTTGGCCACTATCAATATATTTCAATCACTAATACACATGAAGTGTCCTGGGGACTGAGCCCCAAGAGGACCACGGCAACCACCAGAATAAGTGGTCTCCATACCATCATGCTGCCTTTGCCAACCTTTGCCACCCTTTGCTGCCTTTTGCCGCCCTCTGCCGCCTTTTTCTGCCATTTGCTGCCCTTGCTGCCCCTTTCTGCCCTTTGCCGCCTTTTTTTGCTGGCCCCTTTGCTGCCCTTTTCTGCCCTTTGCTGCCCTTTTTTTTCTGCCCTTTTGCTGCCCTTTGGCGCCTTTTTCTGCCATTTGCTGCCCTTTGCCACCCTTTGCTGCCCTTTGCTGCTCTTTTCCGCCCTTTGCTGCCCATTACCACCCTTTGCCGCCTTTTACCAAAATGACCTTTCTGTTTTTTAAAACATCAATGGCCCCCTACCTGTAAGGAGGCCGTGACAACTAACCTGTGCAAAAGTAACTACACAAAAGAGAATGGGCAATCAGGACTTTCCAGCTCTGCAGAACCCTCTAGAACAGGGGTGTCAAACTCCATTTCATGGCGGGCCTTATCAGGACTATGGTTGCCGTCAAAGGGCCGGTTGTATTTGTGAGACTATATGTCCACATTACATCAGATGTCAAGAATCCCCCAGCCTGCCTAACATCATTGTGCACCACCTTTGGGGAGCAGAGCTGGAATGCAGAAAGTACAGGGTCTGGAGGAGGACCAGAGGAGGAGTGAAGTCAGTTACCAGAATCTCCTGAATGCTAAGACCAGGGGAGGCGGAGATGAGGGGGTGCTACAGCTGCACTGAGAGGTGCAGGATTTGGCAGAAGAGTTCTATTATCCTCTCTGCTGCCGACTGCTGAGACAAGGTGGGGGCGGAGACAAGGGGGTACCCGCAGGAAAGGTGCAAGGGCCACGTGAATTGACCTGGAGGGCTGGATTCGGCCTTATGTTTGACACCTGTGCTCTAGAATGTCTAAAGTAAACCTAAGAGCAGCTTCTTCCTACTCATTTGATTGACTCCGTCCTTCAAGGTTGGACCTTTTCCACCTTACGTGTTCATACTGCACCCCTTAGCCCTTTCCTCGGCCGGGATTGATCACCCCCCCCCCATCCTGCACCCCTTGGACCTTTCCTTGGCCAGGATCGATCACCCCCCCCATACAGCACCCCTTGGCCCTTTCCTTGGCCAGGATCGATCACCTCCCCCCCATACTG